CCTCTTCCCACGCCTCTCGAGTGGATGGACCGCAGGGCAGGGACTGGGGCAGCAAAGTCCCTCCCACTGTAAGAGAAGATCAGGTCCGTGACCACCTGAGGAACCTGAACGTACATAAGTCTATGGGACCTGATGAGATGCATCCCAGGGTCCTGAGGGAACTGGCTGATGTAGTTGCCAAGCCACACTCCATGATATTTGAAAAGTCATGGCAGTCAGGTGAAGTCCCTGGAGACCAGAAAAAGGGAAACACTGCACCCAGTGTAGAAAGGTAGAAAGGAGGATCCTGGGAACTACCGACCTGTCAGCCTCACCTCTGTGCCTGGGAAGATCATGGAACAGATCCTCCGAGAAGCCCTGCTAAGGCACATGGAGGACAGGGAGGTGATTCGAGACAGCCAGCACGGCTTCACCAAGGGCAAGTCCTGCCTGACCAACCAAGCGGCCTTCTATGGTGGAGTGACTGCATCAGGGGACAAGGGAAGAGCTACGGATGTCGTCTATCTGGACTTCAGTAAGGCCTTTGACACGGCCCGCCACAACATCCTGCTCTCTAAATTGGAGAGAGATGGATTTGATGGGTGGACTGTTCAGTGGATGAGGAATTGGGTGGGTGGTCACATCTAGAGGGTAGTGGTCAACGGCTCAATGTCTGGATGGGGATCAGTGACAAGTGGTATCCCTCAGGGGTCCGTGCTGGGACCAGTACTGTTTGATATCTTCATCAATGACATAGACAGCGGGATCCAGTGCACCCTCAGCAAGTTTGCAGGTGACACCAAGCTGAGTGGTGCGGTTGACACGCCTGAGGGATGGGATGCCATCCAAAGGGACCTGCACAAGCTCAAGAAGTGGGCCCGTATGAACCTCATGAGGTTCAACAAGGCCAAGTGCAAGGTCCTGCACCTGGGTCGGGGCAACCCCCGGTATCAACACAGGCTGGGGGATGAAGGGATTGAGAGCAGCCCTGCCGAGAAGGACTTAAAGAAGAAATGTTTTACGATGAGGGTGGTGAAACACTGGCACAGGTTGCCCAGAGAGGTGGTAGATGCCTCATCCCTGGAAACCTTCAAGGTCAGGTTGGACGGGGCTCTGAGCAACCTGATCTGGTTGAAGATGTCCCTGCTCACTGCAGTGGGGTTGGACCAGATGGCCTTTAAAGGTCCCTTCCAACCCAAACCATTCTATGAGTCTATGATTCTACGAAGATCAAAAGGGAGGAAGGCAAACGGTTGGCTCAAGGCAATTTCCAAGTTTTGGGGTCAATCAGCAGAGAGATCACTTTTTCAGATGCAGAGAAGGGCCACTGCCACACCGTGAAGGATCTGGGCTCTTTAACATCTCCCTGGTCAGAGATTTTGGGAGAGGACATGGGATGACAACCGAAGACAGCAGCAAAATCCGAGCGACAGAAGGACTGAAGGAAAAAGCAACAAGGCTGCTGGTATTTGTGATTAACAC